AGGACAAATTGTGTTAATAAAAGCAAGGGTCCTAGACAAGGAGGGACTCTTCAGTTCCTTTAGCTGAAGGTCCTCTGACCCCCAATGCCTTTCAAAATTATATCTCGTCTCTGGACTCTTTATTAGTCTCTGAATTCCTATGTCATCTATGCGCAGCCTTTTCCAGATTCCTGAACCCTTCTTGATGCTGGGACATGAACCCCGGCATGCCAGTCTAAATAATATTACTTTGTAGATAATATGTTTTGTCTCTCTAATTGATTTTAATATCTTCACTTTTCTTTGGAGTTCTTCAATTTAACTATGAAGTATCTAGCTGGATCTTTTTACTTAACTTGCATCTTTATTTTTAGAGTTCATGATTTTCTTCACTTCTGGAAAATGCTTACTTCAAATATTGCCTCACCCTATATTCTCTTTTATCTCCCCTATAAGCTCCATTTAGTCACATGTTGGGCCCTATCATTCTGTGTTATAGTCTCTTGAATTATATATTTTTTCATATTTTCATAAGTCTCTATGTTGCATTTTATATAAGTTTTTCTTATTTCTCTTCCAATTCATTAAATTCTATATTCATTTTTTTCTATTTTTACTATCTACTTTGTTTTCATTTTCAATGATTACATTATTCATGGTCACTTTTATAAAACCATGCCTAGTCTCTTCTTCCTTGTGCTTATTTTAAATTTTTAATCTTTTAAAGATTTGATACCTGATTATTCACTAGCACATAGTGCCAGTGTATGAAATCTTTGGGTACCTTATTGTGCCTTTGTTTATGTGATTATTTGAGCTGGCTCTGAGGCATTGGTCACTTTCCAGTTAATTTTTCACTGTGAGCCCTTGTTTGGATAATTAGATTCTATGGGAATCCTGAAGTACCTTATTGAAGATGCCAGGAATTTTTTTTCCTAGCAAATTCTCCCTCTGGCTTTATGCAGGATATCAGCTCTAATTTCCTACTTCATATAGACCCAACTCCTTTTATTACTTTTCCCAGTACATCTTTCAAAATTAGGGTTCTGTGTTGCTTTTATCTGTAATATAACTTCAGTCTATACTCAGCACTACTTGCATTTCATACCTTCTTTCAATTATTATTTTGCATAAATTCTGGAATTTTCCTTAAACTATTTTTTGGATGGTCATTTAGTAATAGACTCCTCTGTGTTGTCTCTATCTCCTCCTATCTCCTTTTCAACTTTGCTTTACATTTTTCAGGCTCAGGACTCGGTTATGTATCTATTTATTTTATTTTATTTTATTTATTGATTAAGTTATTACATTTGTGTCTTTATCCCCACATTACCCCCCATCTCCCCCCCCACTCATGCCCTCACCCCTCGGTTATGTATTTAAAAGTCTTTTATATTTCACTCCATCCAACATTTAACATTGTTATAGTTTGAGAGGTAGCTTTTTAAAAATAAATATAATCCACTATTTTTTAGCCAAAACTAGAAGTATTGTGTGTACAATTTTGATGTGTCCCAGGTTGTAAATCCATTTAACTCAGGGATATTGTCTTATTCTTCCTTCTATCTCTCCTGTCTTCCTGCCCGTGATCCCAATGTCTAGCATAAAGTAGGTGTTAATTTTTTTTAAAAAGATAAAACAGTGTGTTTACTTTAAATGAGTTTGCTGTCAGCTTTGAATATTTTGCCTTTTGGAATTCTCAGCCAGGGTCTCCCATTGAAAATCATTGACAACATACAGTTGACCCTTGAACAACATGTGGGTCCACATATAGGCAGATTTTTTTCCTAATAAATACCATAAATGAAATTTTCTTCTCTATAACATTCTTAATAACCTTTTCTCTAGCTTATTTTATTGTGAGAATACAGTATATAATACATATAACATACAAAATATATGTAATCAATGGAGTATGTTATAGGTAAGGCTTTTGGTAAAGAGTAGGCTATTAGTAGTTACGTCTTGAGGAGTAAAAAGTTATATGTGAATTTTCAACAGCAAGGCGAGTCAGTGCCCTAACCCCTGTGTTCTTCAAAGGTCAACTGCAATTCAATTCAAAATCATATGGTCTTTTTTTTTTTTTTTAATCTTGGGTTTTCATCTAAGCTCCATCATTTCATGTGATCTTGGACAACTGAGTAATAGTTTTTAAAGTAAAAGTAGGAAACAATGCAAGAGGGTATTTTGGACATAATGAGACACTGTGTTTGATGCGCCTAGCAGAGTATTAGAGCACTGGGGTCTATGAGACGCTTCCCATTCCTTAATAAACCAGACAAACACAACCCTACCTGCTAGCAGCATGTTTATTCCTTGCCCCTTTTGGTACATGTAGAGAAAAAGTTATAATCAGCTGAGAATAATTTTATCTTTTGGCAGCAAAATATAAATTTGCTTTATAAAATATTATGTGACTGAATTATACTGATTTGCTTTGGGTACCATCATTTAGATAAGTTCATTTCTTATCTAAATGATGAATGGCAGCTGAAACAGTGTAGGGTAATGTTATTTTTACTAGACAATAACAGTTGATAAAGGAGTTTCCCAGCTGAAACTAGGCAATAAACAACTATGAAAGGAACAAAATATGTGATTTTTAAAAAATGGAATATATAAAATGTTATGGGACCTGAATTCAGAATCAGGATGTAAAATTGAAATGTTTCTGTTTGTATGCTTCTTTACTCCTTTTTATTTCTCTTTCCTCTTCCCTGCCAAGGAAAACCTGAAATGGGCTGTGACATGACACAATCATTTACTTATTTAGTGTGGGAAGATGGTGGAGTGCATTGCTAATACAACACGAAATTGTAGTTTCAAAATCTAGAGGGCCTTTTAAAATAGCACACATTTAGAAATGGAAAAGCAACATTGAACACAAGAGTTATATATCTTTTATGGAGTAGCATTTTAAAATTTACCATACTCATCATGTTTATTTTTGTGTGCCCAGCAAAGGTTGAAAGGCTTGTAAGCCCTCATTAACTTCATTCAATTAGCAATTACCTATTGAGCACCTCCTGTCTGCCAGGAACTTGGCTAATAATGGGGGATGCAATAGTGAAGAAGTCACAAGCCTGCTTCATTGTTACAGACTAGTGGAGGAATCACAGAAGTCAACAATGACCACATTAGATCTGCGGGTGCTAGGATGAATGAGGACAGAGGCTGTGAGGAAGCCCAGGAATGAAATTTAACCCAGCCTGGAAAAATCAGCCAAGATACCTTAGAGAAAGTCCTCTAAGGTGGGAAATCAAGAATAAGTAGTATTAACCTAGTGACTGGGGTGGGGAAGGGATCTCAGAGCTGGTGTCTAGAGATGGCATGTTGAGAGTACTGCCAGTGGAACAGTTTTGTAAAATTGTCACTGAGAAGATAAGGGCAGGTATAATAAGCAGTAAGCCTTAAAAGGTGAGCTGTGTTTGCGAGCCATGCTAAGGAGTATGACGTTTATGCTGATTTCAGATGGAAATATGTAGGAATGAATTTGTGCCTTAGAATGATCACTCTGCCTAAAGAACGGAAAATGGATTGTGGGTAAGAGAGACATCGGGTTCAAGGTGTTGCTGAGATGAGAACTGATGGAATCTTCAACTGACATATAGAATGCACAAGATTTGATGATTGGTAGTAGAATGGGTGAGTCATCCAGGACCAACATACAGGTTCCCGGTTTGGAAGCTGGATGAGAGGAAAATGCCATTCATTGAAATATAACATATGGGAGTGATGTTGATCAGTTGGGAGGAGGAAAGGAAGATGAGTTTAGTTTTTGATTCAAAGAGACATGTCAATTAGGCTGGCTCTTTGCTATGTGTGTGTATGTACACATTTACTCAGGAAGAAGACTTAAAATGTAGGTTTGGACAACATATCATATCAGGACTTCAGATATAGCTTTGTGAAACAACAATCTACATATATAAAAGCCTAAGTGACCGAACAACCAAACGACCATTTAACCCGTCACTATGATGCACACTGACCACCAGGGGGCAGACGCTCAATACAGGAACAGCCCCCTGGTGATCAGTGCTCTCCCACAGCAGGAGTGCCGCTCAGCTGACTGATGGGTGCCAGACACCAAGCTCAGGGCTGGTGAGCACAGCTACAGCAGCACGAGGCTCTCCCGCCTCCGTGGCAGTGCGTTAAGGAGTGGAAGCAGTGGTAGGCTCAGCTCGGCCGGGATGAACGGGAGCAGCAAGGCACCCGGCCACCTGCTGCTTTGTGCACTACTACACCCCCACCCCCAGGGTCCTGGATTGTGAGAGGGCGCAGGCCAGCCCAAAGGACCCCCACCAGTGCACGAATCTTTGCAGCGGGCCTCTAGTGTATAGATAATAAATTAGTAGTGTGAAGAGGAAGCCTAGAAAAAAGTGAAAAAATGTATAATCTGAATAGAGACGAGGACTAATGTAGAAATATAAGGGACATTTAAGAGATACACAAAGAGGAGTAATAAGGTATTACTCAATATTCTTTTACAAGACAGAGAAGTAAGGAGAACAAATAGTTCTGAAGTTGGAATAAAGCAAAGAGCAATGAAATACTAGAGGATGTGGAGTGCTCAATGGTAGGCCAAAATTATGGATTTTCCTCCCAGAGTCCTGAATGCTCCTATCTTAGAATTTAATATTTTACTGGGTCTTTTCTTTCTAGAATGTGGGAGGGAGGGTGGGGAATCTTACTTTTCTCAAACTTCCTTTAAATGTGCAGATGCATTCTCTGCCCCTGAGCTATCGTCCTTGCCACTGCACATGGCCCACTTGCTTCTCATAATCTCCTGGGCTATCTCTGTCTCTTGTTGTCATATTGTAGAAATTAAAAGAAAGAAGTTGAAAAATAACTTTAACATGCCTTTAAGAAATCAAATATAAAGGAATATTTTGAATATTCAACTTCATATAACTTCTATAACTATTCAGCCCATAGAATTTTATCAATATGTCAGTGTATTCTGAACTTCAGTACACTGTGCGTTCCAAAGATGCATCTAAAATCATGTGTTCCACCTCTAAAAGCAAATGAAAATGAACTGACTATAGAAGAAAGAGCACTGCACTCGGCAGTAGGATATTTGAGTTCTACTTTCTAACACCAAGTGATTCTATTTCCTCATCTATGTCTCTTAATTTTCTTGGACCCAAGTTATGTGATTTGTAAAACAATGATCTCCAATGTCTTTTTAACGTTTAAAATCTTATTGTTCTCAAGTCATCTAAACAAGCAATGCAAGGTTTTTATTCAATAATAAAGGATATGCATTTCATTCCCATGGAGCCATTCTAATACTTGGGCCTGAAATATTTGAGTAAGTTTTAGTAACCACAATAATGTTCTATTTTTTTAAAAATATATTTTATTGATTTTTTACAGAGAGGAAGGGAGAGAGATAGAGAGTTAGAAACATCGATGAGAGAGAAACATCGATCAGCTGCCTCCTGCACATCTCCTACTGGGGATGTGCCCGCAACCCAGGTACATGCCCTTGACCAGAATCGAACCTGGGACCTTTCAGTCCTCAGGCCGACGCTCTATCCACTGAGCCAAACCGGTTTCGGCCACAATAATGTTCTAAATTACATGAATGTGATTAAATAAGCATATGAGTTCACACAGAACATTTCTACATCGCTTATAATTTTATTGTGGTTTTCTCCCCATTTACCTACTTGCCCACTTTTTTATTTTAAATTTTCTTTCAGGAGATAGCAGGAACATAAAGGCTTAAATTGTTAAACAGAGCAATAAACATGTATGTTCATCTAGATATGGAAATGGTGCAATTACTCCAGTTAAATATTTTCTAAAGACACTCCTGTGAAAGACTAAAGGAACTGCCTTGGGAGTCATTTGCCCGAGTTGCAGATTGTTGCCAATAGGACCCAGTCACAGGAGGCAAACCCGAAAAAGGAAGAACAGAGAAAAGAAAAATAATGTTTCCAATTAGGGACTCACCTATTACAACTGCCTGACTTCTGCAGACATACCAAGGACTGCTCTTCTGCCTGGCCAGAATGCTAGCATTCCCAAAGAATGGAGCTTCCTGTGTTCCTTGGATTTTCTGTGTCTTCCTCTCTCCACTGGTTCAGCAAGGAGCAGAGGCCTTTCAGTGTGGCAATGGGGTCTCCGTGCCTCCTGACACTGTGTGTGACTTCACAGATCACTGTGGGGACATGAGTGACGAACAGCAATGTAAGTTCCATTCCTTTCTTTTCTCCACTTTCTGCGTACCTTTGCACCGGAGTGGGGGGGGGGGGGGGGGGGGGGGGGGGGATGGGGCTGATGAGCAGCCAGGGAGATTCAGATAGATACCTGGCCCTGCATGGATCTAATTTATAAGCCCTTAGTGTAAGACAGAAACTAAAATAGTCTTTTCATTAAAGAGACAGGTCCATAAATAAAAATCACTCTAATTAAGCAATACACATTGCTAAGATTCTATCTAGCTGGATGTATTTTAAATCAGTTTTTACTGATTATATGGAAAGAATGATAGGCAGAAGTATAGCGTTTAATTTTATATTAGTAGAGCAAATTTCAAAAGAAATGCAGTGCTGCAGCTTTAAAGTTCTGTGATGGAAAATATCAGCTCAAGGTTGAATGCAGTATGAAAATATTTTAGCTAAATTCTAAATTACATGAGCAGGTTTTACTTTTGCTGCTAGGCCGGTACCACCAAGTGAAATGATTGCGCACTGAGCACAGCTCTCTGGCTTCTGTCATTTGGTTTCGGGCGGAGGAAAGAGCACCGGCTTCACAGAGTGCAGGACGGAGGGTTGGAGCCTGGAGAGACCATCTACCAATTGTGTGATCTTGAACCTCCACCTCATTATAAGAGAAACCCGCTCTCACAGGCGGGAATGCGCTCCATTGCCTACTGGTGTAATATTAATAAACAGGAAACCACTTACCAGCGGAAGACATGGGTAAAGACTTTAATGTGTCTGTAGTTTCTCTGCCAATAAGACATCCTGAAGGAATTATTTCACTTCACCAATGGAACTTGTGTTGTTCTTACATACAATTGCCTTTCGTAAACAACTAATGGATTAAATGGAGTCATTGTTGGTTCATAGTAATATGACCTAGTTGTCTGAAGGCACTAATTCTAGTGAGAGCACTTTACTCAAACATATTTTCTATTTTTATTCAGATACTATATTAATTAATGTTTACAGAACTCCTTTGTTCAGATAACGATATTAATTAGTGTTTGCAGAATTTCTTCTGCTAAAATAGATTCTACATATTCAATTTTGCTATTGTTGGCCTTCTATTTAGATGTTCAGTTGTTACATTAAAACCAGAAAAGAGTTTAATGAAAAATTTCTTCTCTGTAGAAGAAGACAGTCTAATGACTTTTGCCCCATAGTTTGGGATAGCTATCATGCAGTTAGCAACTATTAAATGCAAAGCACAACCAAAGATGAGGATTCAATATTTGTGCAGTTTCCCCAGAAAGGCTACATGTGGGCGAGCTGCCCTTCCTCTCCCCTTCTTGGGTCTGTCTGGTGAGCAGCAAAGAGGAACCACTCGGCTGGTTTGACAAGAAGTGCCAAGTCCCTTCCATTGTTAATCTCTATGAATCTCCCTTTAGCGCACCTGCCGGGGTAACATGCATGGTCCTGCTTCAGGGAAAAGGTAAATGTGAAAGAAGGAGGAAGCCACAGGGTGAGAAAGGTCTCAGCTGAATGAAAGGTTCTAATAACATGCAGCCGTGGAGGAAAGCGAAGGAACACATCTGTCGCATAAACAGGTTTCATTTAAAATGTTACATTGGGAGATCACCTTTTGGCTTTTCGTTTTTCATTTTCATTTCTGAGAAGTGTCTACTTCCGTATTTTATTTAAAATGTGAACAATAACCTGTAGATAAAATTGAGAACCACTTTAAAATGTGAATTTCTGTTGTATACCACACTGGGGGGTAGGAGAGGGGAGGAATATTGTTAGGGAATAATAATAGCCAACCAATTTCTCTCATGAAAATTTGTGACGAGATTTTAAAAGCTACCTTTATAATGATGGTACAGTAGTCACATTTTGAAAAAAATCAACCCATGCCCCCTTTAACGTCCAAATGATGTGACCTTTAAGAAATAGATTAATAGGTTGATTATCTAAATGAAATTGGCATAGTTGAAGTTGAATTTCAGATGCAACTGATTCTATTCATAGGTTTTTAAAAATGTTCTTATTTTATATGATGGAACTCTTTTAAAAATACTACAACTGTTTAACTCAGGTTTTTTTGTTTTGTTTTGTTTGTTTTTTAAGATATTAGGTTTGAGAAGACTGAATCTTCCCAATAGATTAAGTTCTATTTATGCACACTATTGAGCATTTAATATATAGTAAGCAAGGAAAATATTTTTTAAGTATAACAATTATTTAGTTCTGGTGTTGACAAGAATCCCTCTTTATTAGATTTTATTGATATACTGAGCCAGGGAAAAATGTTGTGTAACTGATCTGGATATTAAAAAAAATCATATTCCCCAGTGAGGTTGCAACTGCCCCGGTGAGGTTGAAATGGCCTCTGTGAGATCGAAACGGCCCCTGTGAGGTCGAGACGGCCCTGGAGAGGCTGGGACAGCCCCGGGGAGGCTGGGATGGCCCCGGTGAGGCTGGGAAGGTCCCGGTGAGGCTGAGACGACCCCGGTGAGGTTGAATCAGCCCCGGTGAGCAGAGAGGCTGGGACGGCCCCGGTGAGGCTGGGACGGTCCCGGTGAGGCTGAGACGACCCCGGTGAGGTTGCATCAGCCCCGGTGAGGTTGAATCGGCCCCGGTGAGGTTGAGACGGCCCCAGTGAAGTCAAGACGGCCACGATGAGGTCGAAACGGCCCCGGTGGGGTCGAAACGGCCCCAGTGAGGTTGAAACGGCCCCAGTGAGACTAAAATGGCCCCAGTGAGGTTGAGACAGCCCCGGTGAGGTTGCAACGGCCCCAGCGAGGTTGCAACTGCCCCGGTGAGGTTGAAACGGCCCCAGTGAGGTTGAA